GTAAAAAACATTAAAAAATATATATTTAATAAATTTATTCATTGTTTACTATGAAAATCTTTAAAACAATTAGGTCTCACTATAGAACAACAAAGAGGTACATTACATTTAATGCACCAAAATTGAGTTTGGGAAATTGCATAATTTTTTTTTTTTTTTTATCTTTGTTATTTTTTTTTAAAAAATAATGACAATATAGACATGATTCTCTTTTTCTACGCCATTCTACTAGATGATTCCCTGAAGAAAGTCGATTTATAGGTAGGTTAAAATTTTTAGTAACATGTGTGATTCTTGATTTTTTTAGTGGTGATTTTAATGAAGCTTTTTTTTGTTTTAATTGACCCCAAGTTATTCTATTGCTACTACTTTCATTATCTATAGCTTCTTGAATTAAATCCCATACAAGAGCAATTCGGAAGTCTTTGCTTGCAATCTTTGTATTTGTAACTTTGCGATAAAGAATAGTACTATTAACAAGAACAGTGTCTAATAACCAAAAAAATAAAGAAAACAATATACGACGTGCTGTTAATTGACAATTATAGTAACCTCTAAGCTGATATACAAGATCAATACCTCCCATATGATTATTATAATCATTAATTACTTGTGAAATAGGCAATACTTTTTGTGACATATTGCCAAATATCTGATGAACCTTATTTGCATTAGTACTTGTTTTATGAGGGTGTCATCAATTTCGAATAACTTTCCATTAATCACCCATAATTCCATGAATAGTTGTAAGCATTGTTACAGGCCCATTATCAATCCATAATACTGCTAAAACATTATCTGTAACTACTCCACTTAGTGTATTCCAATCTAATAAATGAGTATTATTAATTTTTAACTCTCTAGAAAATTTTAATGAATTAGTTCGAACAGTTCCACATGCACCTAAATTATTTTTATGTAAATATTTAAAAAGAGAAATACTTGAAAAATAGTTATCCATATAAATATGAAATGTTTTTTCCTGAGGAAGCTGATTTGCTAAATAACATACTATGCATCCAGCTTTATTAATATTAGTGATTAACTCTAACTCCTTATTATCTTCAACTTGAGAACTAAACATAAATGTATATATATATCCAGCTTCACATAGAGAATATATTTTGTAGCCTTCAGGTATTGGCTTGTTTTTCATTTTTACAGTATGTATACTTCGACCAGA